TGATTGTCAAATACCCGTAAGTAATGTAAGAATTGTTTCCACAAATTCTTACACTAATTCATACTTCACTATTGTGTCAAGTATGCCGGTGCGCCATTATCACCCGATGCCCATGGCATCACATCCAGTGCCTATATATAAACCCGTGCCCGTGATTAAGCAAATACCGATCGTCAAACACGTGCCCGTATTCCAGCCCATCCAACAGCACCAGGAGTCCCAACAGATGCCTGTCTACCAGAAAATACCCGTTTTCCAGAAGACGTTCCCCGAAACGCAAATGAATAGCCCAGAGATCTCAATGTCCGCACAGACACCACAGCAGCCAATGCCAGGACAGACACAACTCCATGACCAGCAACAAGACATGAACAGTGATTACTATCCCAACGAGAATATGCCCGAAGAGTCGGCGCCCGAAGGCCAACAGCAACAACAGTCCCAACAGGAGTCCAAAATTGACTTAATTTTATCCAAACTCAGGATTAAACCACTCATTAAACCATTATTTAGATAATAAATTCATAAAAATTAAATAAAATTTATACAAATTTCTCAAAACAGAAATTCCGAATTATTTTTATTTAGATAATTTGTTTTCAGTTAAATATAATTAACTTAGTTACATAGCTATAATTATTAATAGCGTTTAATTAATTTAATTAATACTATTAATAACCAATAATCATAGAAATGACATTTCAATTGTTAACTAATATCTCGAATGATTTCTTAAAAAATAAGTGACTTTTCAAATGAAATGACAAAAACATTTCAAACAAATCATTGAAATGGTTAACGATGTCTGCGCTTATGATCGTTGCGTTCGCTTCTGTCGCTGCGATGGTCTCCCCTATTATGGCTGCGATGAGAATGTGGTGATTGTGGAGTTCTTGAGCGCCGGTGTCTGTGCTTATCGTTGGACCGCTTGTCCTCTCCGTCCTCTTGTCGAGACCGACGGTCTCTGTCTCGAGATCTTGAGCGCCGCCTCTCAGTAGGCTTCTCGCGCTCAACGGAACGTCTCCTATGTTTGTTGCGCGAGTCAGCCCTTCCGCCGCCGCCGCGCGTGTCCTCAGTCTTGTTGTCCTCTTCGTACGCCTCCTCTGCCTCCTCCTCCTCGACCTCTCCCTCCTCGACACCCCTTTCCTCTCGCATCTGTTGCTCGTACTCCTCATCCCTGGCCTTAAGCTTCGATTCGATCTCTTTCTGTATGGGAACGGGAACTCTGGGGAACAGCGATGAATACCAGTCCAGTTTAGTCAGCATATGGCGACACATCTGCCCGATTGTGATGGTCTGACCGCCGCCCGCCTTCGGGTCCACCTCCTCCTCGTCCTCGAGGAACGGCGCGAACCAATTGAACAGATGTTGCGGCGGTTGTGTGAACCGGATGTACATAAAGCCGAGCGATCGGATGTACGGCGAGTCCTTGTGTCGGATGAGTCCATTCACTTGCTTTCGCGTCAGTTTTAAAGTAAACAATTTATATAATATACAAAACGGTGTCGATATTATACCGCCGGCGCCCACCCCTCGCACCGAACCGCACATTCCGGTCTGACCGCCGACCTGTCAATCAGACAAACAAATCATTAGATCTCTTAGAAA